AGGAGGGGGGGGGGAGGAGAGGTGAGGAGGAGGGGACAAGGACAGGAGGAGGAGGAGAAGGACAAGGAGGAGGACAAGGAGAAGCAGGAGGAGGAGGAGGGGACAAGGAGGAGGAGGAGGAGGAGGAGGAGGAGGAGGAGAAGGGAAGGAGGAGGAGGAAGATTAGGAGGAGGAGGAGGTAAGAGGGAAAAGGGAGGAGGGAGGAGGGAGGAGAGGAGAGAGAAGGGAGCAGGTAGCAGGGGGGAGGAGGGAGAAAGGGAGGAGGAGGAGGAGGAGGAGGAGGAGGAGGAGGAGGAGGAGGAGGAGGAGGAGAAGGAGGAGGAGGAGGAGGAGGAGAAGGAGGAGGAGGCGGAGGAGGAGGAGGGGAGGAGGAGAAGGAGGAGGAGGAGGAGGAGGAGAGGAGAGGAGGAGGAGGAGTGAGGAGGGAAGGAGGAGGAGGGAGGAGGGAGGAGGAGGAGGAGGAGGAGGAGGAGGAGGGGGCGAGGAGGAGCAGCGAGGAGGGGAGGAGGAGGAGGAGGAGGAGGGAGGAGGGGAAGGAGGAGGAGGAGAGGAGGGGAGGAGAGGAGCAGGGAGGAGGGAGAGGCAGCAGGAGGAGGAGGAGGAGGAGGAGAAGGAGGAGGAGGAGGAGGAGGAGGAGGAGGAGGAGGAGAGGAGGAGAGGGAGGAGGGAAGAGGAGCGAGCAGGGAGGAGCGACGAGCGAGGAGCAGGGCGGGCAGGCCTGGGCAGGAGGGGCGTCACAGCACGGGCGGCCCTCCACCCAGCAGGCTCCAGGGGAGGGCCGGTGCGCGACCCTGACGCCCACCAGCTCTTCGACGTTTTCTTATTCGGCGTTTCGACACTGGGCGTAAGGGGGGGAGTGAGGGGCAAAGATAGGGGGGTACTGGCATAGGGGGGGAAGCATCGACCTGGAATCAGCGATACATCGCCGATGGATCGGCGATAGGCCCCCGATAGTGAATCCGCACGTTCCTGGGCAGGTTGGGGCTATCGGGCCCCTACCGGCGATCAATGGGCGATTGGGGGTCGACGCATCCCCGCCTATGCCTATCCCCCCCTATCGTTGCCCCTGAGGGAGGGGGGGTCTGGCTCCCGGACCTCTGCTCAGTGCGACTGCTTGCAGCAGTGCGTCCTTTGGGGGAGACTCCACCTGCTTGAGACAAGCGCCAAAAACTGTTTTGCGTCGGCGGCTAGGCTGGGGACGTCTGCGCTGGCGATGGGATGCCCAAACGGGGATGCCGTTAGAGCGAATTGCGCCACCATGCAAGAGGAGAGGGGGGAGGCGCGGACGAAAAAGGGGCGGACGGAGACAGGCGCCAAAAACAGCCAAGATCTAGCCCACGGGGAGGGAGTAAGGGTGTGCGAGGGCCCGCGCCGATCGGCAAAACATTGAAGAAGAAAACGATCACATCCCTATCCCTATGCTTGGCATCACCCTGCCTCTGTGCCGATCTTCAGGATTCCCTCAGTTTTGAAGGCACGTCCGTCAGGATCGTCGCCGCCCTGGGCTTGCCGATCTCAAGGATAGGCATGCGTCCGAGGCTGGTCAGACGCCGCTTCTGGGGACTGCGCCCGACCCCCCTGGCCTTGTCATCTGCAGAGAAATGCCTCGGTCGACCGCAGAGCGGCCACCCAGAAATTGGTCTGGCCGTCCTACGACCGCCAGTCTTCGGGAGCCATCACGCTCGCAAACGCATGGTTTGCCCACTTTTCTCTCTCGTGCCGCGTGTGCCGTACGTTTGATCCAATCAGGCCACGGCCCTCCACACTCTGTCCGGAATCTCCACAGCTTCCACCGATGAATGAGCCGATGAACTGAAAACCGAGTTGATGAAATTCCCGGCGCATTTTGACCATTACAGGAGTTGCGTTCTGCGTTGCAAGCGTGGTCATCCAAATCCTCCGTAAGCACACATACCGCGCTCCCATACAGAACCGCTGAGGACACTGTAGGGGGAAGAAGGGGAGGGAGGAGGGAGGGACGAGGGAGAACAAGCAACATGTCGTGGGCATTATGAAGATTTAGGAGGGCTGAGGAGGGCCAATGGGAAAGTGTGTCATAGGATGGTTCATGGTGAGAAATTAGTTTGTCGCGAGTCCTAGACGGTTTCGCGGAGGGTGGTGGGAAGAGGAGGAGGAGGACGACGACGACGACGAGGAGGAAGGAGGAAGGAGGGGCGGGGGAGGGCACGGAGGGGAGGAGGGAGCAGGGAGTAAACGAATGGTGAAGAGGGAGGTGGAGGATGGAGAGAGGAGGAGGAGGAGGAGGAGGAGGAGGAGGAGGATAGAAGAGGAGGAGGATAAGGAGGAGGAGGAGGAGGAGGAGGAGGAGGAGGAGGAGAAGGAGGAGGAGGAGGATAGAGGAGGAGGAGGAGGAGGAGGAGGAGGAGGAGGTGGAGGAACACACGCCACTCAGGGAAAACAGGGCTCGTCACTTCGGCAAGGGCTGCAGGGCCCCTCCTGGGGGCCAGCGACGGGACCCCCCTTCTCATGGGCAGTAAAGAGCTCGCGCCCTCCTCCGAAGAGGCGGGCCCTTGGCCTGCCGCCCTCTTCGAGGCGCCTGCGTCCGAGGGGCCCTTGGCCTGCTGCCTCCGCGGAGGCCAGGAGCCCCCTCCCTCCTCCTCCTCCTCCTCCCTCCTCCTCCCTCCTTCCAGCACTCCTCCCTCCCCTCCCTCCCTCCTCGCAGCACTTTGCGGAGCCCGCAGCCCAGTCTTCGAGGCACAGCTCGCGCCCCTCGGAGCCCCGGGCTGGGCCCCAGCGCCGCCGCCCTCGAGGTCCCCCCACGAGCGTCGCCGGCGCGCCCCCAAGGGGGGTGGGGAAGCGGGAAGGGGCCGGGCCTTCGCAGAAGGCTCGGGAGGTCCCTGGCCTGCTGAGGAGCCTCCTGCGAGCCTTCCCAGGAAGGCTCCGAAGCGTCTCCCGAGAGAACCTTGCGGGAGGCGCGAGGGCCTCTGGGAAGTCCCACCGCCTTCCGAGAAGGCCTTCTTCGTTTTCTTCTTCTTCGTCTTATTATTATTCTTCTTCTTCTTATTATTATTATTATTCTTATTATTCTTATTATTCTTATTATTCTTCTTATTAATATTCTTATGATTATTATTCTTCTTATTATTAGTTTTCTTATTCTTCTTATTATTCTTATCATTATTATTCTTATTATTCTTCTTATTAGTATTCTTATTATTATTATTCTTAATATTCTTATTATTATTATTACTATTATTATTATTCTTCTTCTTCTTCTTCTTCTTCTTCTTCTTCTTCTTCTCACTGCTCATATTTCCGCCCCCCCCCCTGCTCGCCGCCGAGAGCAGCTCACGCAACAGGCCCACCAGGGTGCCCCAGGGGCCCAGCCCGAGAGCTCGGCTGGGAGTGCCTCGCCCGAAGAGGCCTGGACGAGCTGTTCGGGCAGGGCCCCACGAGGGCCGCCCGGGAGCAGGGGCAAAAAAACGCTTCGCCCCCCCGGCCCCGTGGTGGGCGTGGCATGGTCGCCAAACGTGGAGCCCAACAGAAGCGGCGGTGCCCTTTCCTCGAGGACAGGGAACCGAAGCAGACAGCGCCCCCCTTTTTGCTGCAGGATGGCAGGTGTGAGGCATGCGGGCCGCTCCAGGAACACACTGCGGCCTCGCGGGGGGTTCGCCTGGAGAAACCGTCGAAGACGCATCGGGCACGGCCTGCACAGATGGGTGGGCCTCGGCAGTCCCCTTCTGCCGAACCTCATCGATGGCAGCATCCATCGCAATACCAAGCCCCCCAGAGACAAGAGTGATGCCCTGAGGGCTGACATTATCAGATCGGCCCTCCTCACTACTGAACAGGTGGTCAACTGAAGCGTCTGCCGCGCCAACCACAACATACCACTGACCAGCCACTTATCCTGCGAGAGGCACCCTGTTCGACCAGAAGATCGGCTTCGTGATTGCCTGCCCGATCGAACTCAGACAGCTGTCCCTCGCGGACGTCTACCATAGAAGAGAAAACGCCATGAACATAAAATTTTGGCGCTCCGCGCGGATTTCTTGGATCTGCGCTGGACCCCCCTCCCTGGCGCGCGGAGAGCGCCAGGGGCGGCGCCGGAGGCGCTGCTGGGGGGGGCAGCATGGATCCAAGAAATCCGCGCGGAGCTCTTAAAGCTTGTGTTTATGTCGTGTTTCTTCTTCAATACCATTGAAGGGTGGACCATCAGATTCTTCCATGTGGCCCCTTCCAGCGAGGCCAGAAGGTCTAGCTCCAAAGGTGGGCTCTACTGTTGGACACACGGCAGGCAACTGACCGACTGTGGCACCACTGCTGGGTCCCTCGGCAGTCCGAATACAAGGAACGCAGCGAAATGCTTGCCGTCTCGAGCCACCTGGTCAGGACAGGAAGCAGGTGGGACCGAGCCACGCAATCTCGCTATCCATCTGAGCTCGTGGTCACCAACAGAAGCCTTCCTCCAGCCGCACGCACGAGGGGAACACGCCGTCGACGCCAGAACCGTCGCAGCACAA